ATATTAAACAGTCTGCTAACACAGAACTTTGCTCCTTCTTTATGACTCTTGAAGAAAGCAGTTAAATACTAGAAGGCATAATTTTGTATGGGATTTACATTGACAGAAATAAAACAGGAGCTGGGAGTTTTGGGTGCGGGTGCACAGCGTAACCACCCAGTAGGATTACACTAAAAATTGTACCTGCAGGATTGTCAGACTCTTCCCTGGTTTCATCACTGCGTATTAACCTAGAAACTTCTGTTACTCTTTTTATGTTTCAGAGGTGACACCATTATTACTTTCTTTGGCTTAAATAGTATCTGCCACAGGAGGGTGCAAACAGGAATTCATTCATTCGTTTGTTTCCCTTTCAGTGGATTTCTGTCATATTCTGCATAGATATATGTAAAAATATTTTTAATTTTCAAAGGAATGTGACTTCACTATTTTGATGAGAATAAATGATTCTACTGGACAATTTTTAGCTAGGACTTAGGATTGGGAGGATGATAAAAGTAAAATGGCATTTTTTGCATCCAGTCAAATAAATAGCATGATGTTGATTGATTACCTGTAGAGTTGCAGAAGAAAGCCTCATTGAATTAGTCTTCCCTGCTTACTGTGTATGGATGAGGTACCGATTTCTACATGTTGGTCTGGCAAGTTTCCTGTTCTGTAAAACTGGTGGATTCAAGTCTTGGTTTGATTGATATTTGTTGAATGTAACAAGGGGTTCTGCTGTACAAATGTGTTTTAAAATTGAATTCTTGGCCCTTTCAGTATGCCTTTGCAACTTTAAAGCCACATATGATTTCACTTCAAGTTAACTTGTGAGTTAGTTCCCTTCTCTAGTAACTGTCTCCTGTGCTATATACTGGAAGGAGTTAAAGAAACAGTTTCTGGTCTCTGCTTGCACTGGTACTTTTCAACAGAATAAACCCAACCCAAACTGGACATTCAGTTGCTTCAGTGCTTCTCTCTTGTGCAATTTCTTTTCAAGCTAATATAGAAACTGTATTACTAATACTGTGGTATCTGTTGACTTCAGTGGACTTTGCTGTTAACTGGAGCAAAGGCAGGGTTTCACCATGTAACTATAAATGCTGTAAGGGAATATACTTAGCAATGACCTAAGATTCATCTAGAGCTACTGACTTCACATTTCTAGCTTCCCATTGGCTTGTGCGCTGCCTTTTCAAATGCACAGGAAGCACCTCGTGTTCCTGTCCGGCTTCTGCACCTCAGCATTTAAAAGGCAACGAGTAAATACCAGGCATTGCAGAATGACAACATGCTTTGCTTTGGCATGGGTGACCGAACGTTAAACCTGCTAGGGTGACCCTTTGCCTCGTTTGGGCTATAGATCATTACCCTGAACTACTCATGCATTGGTCTCCCTGGCTTGTTGGTGTCTTGTGGGTTTTCCTGTTTTAAGAGGCCTTTGCCTCAATAGCAAATGCATGGCTGACTGCAGGGTAGGCAGTGGAATCTACTGGGTTTTGTTTTGTTTTGTTTTGTTTTTTTTAGGCACGTTCTGGTTACGTTACCTCTTTATCCGTAACATAGCACGACTGTGCAACAAACGTGATTTCATGTGGACCACATAGACTTTTTCTTAGTCTGCTAACACAGCCATGTCATAGCATCAAAAGAATAGCCTAATAGAAATCAAGATGCATGCTACAGATCCTGATAAGATAAAGGGAAATTGGTTCGATACATCATTTACTAGAAAAGTCCATGAATACCTGAGGCTTTTCATTGATTTGTTCTGGTCTCTTTCTAGATTTTTAAACTATCTGACTGGCCTCTAATTCCCCAGGTCTCTCTTTCTTTGGCCTTAAGGACAAAGAACCACTTAGTCCCGTGGGGTCTCCTTCATGATTTTATAAAAGGGTGTATACAAGGAAGTCAAGAAAAATCCTTCCGTCTCTTCCTTAAACAGTGTAGGTGAGATTTCAGCAGACTTGGCTGATTTGAATATATTTGGTTTATCTGCATTTCTCTACTTTTTTTTGACAATAAAATTATCACTGCATTTTTTTTCCTGAAGTGTCAAGGACTTGCTATTCTTATTACAGTGGCCTGTCTCTTCCCTTTTTTCATCCTCTTTGCAATCAATCAGTGAAGAAGATGCTATTTCACCCCTTAACCATCTAGAATTTTTTTTAATATTGTAAGACTCCACAAGCCAGTTGGTGTTATTAGGCTAGCTTTTACAGAAAAAGGCTATTAAAGCAAAGTACTTCCTACTTCTTATAGTTCTTACAAGTATACAGCACAAAGCTGTGCTTCAGTAATGTCCCAGATCCCACACTGGGTCACCCAGGAACCAGAAAGGACAAACCACATAGCATTTTCTTGCCTATTCCAGTATTTGGGTATAGGGCTATGAGAAGAGACGCACATAGAGGGTGTAAGCTCACTGAGAGCTGGAAGGACATGTTTACTTCAGCGATAATAGTACTGACTAAATTAGGCCTTGTCCAGACTGGAAGCACTCCCAGCACTGACAATGTTTATACTGACAAAAGAGTTTATCTGCTGGAGTTTTAACAGCAGCCCTGGTCTTAACCTCCCTGTAGGCAAAGTTAACATTTTAAGCTACATGCATGTGTATTTATTTAGTGGTGTCGGTGGTTTTGCATTTTCCAGCCCAGCTATTGTAAAGACAAAACTGAACGTGAATCAGACCTGAAGAAATAGGTTATTCCTCTCTAAGTGCAGGTTGCTGTGGTGCTGCATTCTTCAGTGGTAGAAGTACTGCTGTACATGGAGCGCTTGGGAGGAGGCAGCCCAGCAATGGGAGCCAGTGTGGCTTGGAGACGCAGGACCAAAGAGCTTCTGAGGCACTAGCAGGATCTGTGTTACCAGCCAGTGAATAAAACAACCAAGCTGCTGCTTGCTTGCTTTGCTGCTTGTTGCAGGCTTTGGTTTTGTTTGAACAGTTGTTCCTTGCCAGAGACATTAGTCTGGGATAATTCAGTTCTGCAGGCAGAGTCCCAAGTGTAAGATGCTCCCCAAATGTCTGTCCCTAAATCTCCCTATTGCTTCTATGCTGTCACTTTACAGAGGGGTTCTTGTTTTGCTTTTGTTGAAGGATTAGGGTGTGGGAACTCTTGCCAGGTACAAAGGGTTTTACCATCATGTGTCTCACCTTTGTGCTTTTTGAAGTGAAGGGTGGCTCTGGTAATAGAAAAATTAACTTAAATTAGCACAGTTGGTGCAGAAAGTCCGTAAGATTGCTTCTGCATTTAAGTCCTTTAGGGATGACGCTGAAGCGGACCAGCTGAGCGCTTTGTGGGCAATGCTAGTTGCCCATAGATATAAATGGTGTATGCTTGGTGGTAGAAAAATATCTCTGTACAAGGCAAACCTATTTGCATAATACCTTGAAGAGTTAAGCCCTTTGCAACACTTAAACAATGTGTAACATGTATTTTGAGAAATGATGGAGGAAACACAGTTGTGTACTCCAAGCAAAATTTATTAGAAGTCTATTCAAGAAAAAAAACACAGAGACCTTTTGCTTGTAGGAATTCGAAGTCAGTTACCTGAAATCCAGGTATGAAAAACCTGTATTTTTCTAAAATCAGATACAGAGTAGAAACAGTACTTTTTAAATATCACAGGCAACAGATATTTAAGTCTTCAATCATAAATGGCATCAAAGATAGTTATTAATCTCACAGCAAAGCTGCATGCAGACCTAGTTTAAAACTGAAAGCCTTTGAATATAAAGCTTTTACCATGAAATCTGCAATAATAAAGGTATGCTGCACAAAGATGTTTCTTTACCTTTGTCTTAATGACATTTCTCAGTAATAAAGACATATGTACATTTAGATTTGGCTAGTAAACCATATTTTAATTAATAAAATTTTGCATAAAATGCTATCTTACAGAATTGCACTATCAGGATGTCCTTATGGTAAATAGAGCAAGAAAAGAAAAATGCATTGAAATGGTCTGTATGTGAAGAGGGCAAAGATCAAATAGGGAACTTAATTTTTTTTTTTTTTTAAATCAACAACCAAATGGCTCTGTACAAAAAAGCAAACATATGTACAAAATGCTACAGAGACTACATACATTTTGATAATTTCAATTCTTTACCCATGAGAAATGCGGTAGAAGCTTTTGCCTTCTAGAAGGTGCTGAAGAAACCAAATCTGAATTTTTATTTTTATAAAGCCATAGTCATTATCATCCTGTGCCTTAATAAATTTGCTATTTATGCTTACCTTTGCTTGTGGAAAATGTATGTTTTCAAATACTTGTTTCTTTCAGGAAAAAAAGAAAAATCCACCTCTAAAATGTATCGGTTTTAATACTTGTGACTTTTTTTTTGCTGTACTAAATTCCTAAAGAGAATGTGTAACTGAGGTTTTGTTAACATACAGATAGATATATATAAATATAGTGAAGTAAATCAGTACATGATACTTGTGAATATTTTTCAGGTGGCTATGTTAGGAAAAAAAAACCAAACAAACCAAACCAAAACCCCTTTGCACTAACACTGTTTACTTCCTGCTTCTTAAAATTCCTGATACATAAAAACACTATCCTCTCAAATTTCATGTTGTTTACTATTACAATATATTGATTACAACCACTTGATGTCAGACATCAGTAGCAGGTTATTATTGTCTATGCTTGTATCATTGTCTGTGTTTTCATTAAATCCTCCTTCCCGAGGTTTCATGCCTCTTGCACTTCTTACTTTTTAACAGAAAACCCTACAGCTTTATTAGGGAAAAAAAGAAAAAAGGTTTAGCCAATACCATTGCACCCGTTTAAAACACTTGCAGTTCTTTCATTTTTCACTACGCTTGCTTGAGATTTTACAATCACTGTGCATATGTTACAACATACAAGTGCAGGCAAAAAATCTATATTATAATTTGTCATACATTGTAAACCAGTACAATAGGCAAACCTGTGATACGGCAAAGTGAAAGCAACAAATGCTGCCAAGCTAATAAGAATGTGGAAACTCAATTTTTAAAAAAAATATAGTAAACAGCAACTTCCCCCTGTATTACATGCATGCTGAAAAAATCCCATTAGACTTCATGATAGTATCACAAATGTCCAAATCAAGAACAGTTTCTCCCCACCCCCCCCCGTGGCAATTCATCTGTGTATCTGTCACGAGGCTTTTCTATTGTGCCTCAGATGAAAAGATTTCAAAGCAGGGAATATCTAAATGTTGAAACGATTCCTCTTGTTTCAGAAAAGCTTATTTATTCACACCGTGGTCGTTGCTGTAATACTGGTGGAACGGTTTGGCGGGTGGGATGGGATGAGGATGGGCTAGATGGCCTCTATTTGAGACTGCAAGCAAGGAAACAGAAGGCCAGCGTAGCATGTTTTCTAGCAGCTTTATGCAGATGTGTTGCAGAGATACAGCATAAATAAGTAGAAAAAAAAATTCACAGCCTCTTGACATAGTTTCCAGGGAAAGTACCAAAGAATTTGGTTCTTCTCGAGGTTCCTGAAATTAGAAGCAATAGATGAAAGATGGGAATAACAACAGGAAATCACTATGTAAGCATGGCCTTTAAATTTTTGTGTTTAATATTGCACAAACAGAAATACCTACAGTTCTTTATAATATAACTTCAAAAAGTTATTTCTGATTTCATTTGTGAATTTTAACAAATTATAACTGAAGGAAGGAAAAAGCAAATAAAGAAGCATATTTGATTAAATTGTTAGGCCTGAATAAAATCCGTGGTAAAATTTTGACTTGGTACACAGAAATAATTTAATTTCAACAACATCAAGTCTATTTAAATAACTTGAATTTTTGAAATGCTGAGGACTGTTTAGATGATGAAGTTAGCCACTGTGTGCATGAGGGTTTATGGAATGATTAAGCCACCTTATCTAGGCCTAGTTATGAAGTCTCTGTTTGTTCAGTAATACTTGGTTCTCACAAGTAGTCAATTCTGTAGATGTATTCATGCGAGTAAGTTTTACATTACCTGGTCTTTAGGAAGAGAGCAGTAATGCATAGACAATTTTGTGTCACATGATAATGACAACAGTGCTGTACAACAAACTGGACACGTGTCAATTTGTGTCCAGCAATTCCAAAAGACACAATTGAAAAATTACCCACTAATTTCAGTGGATTTTGGTTGGGATTTCTCCTGATAAAGCCAGGTTCAGGTCTATTATGCTGAATATCAAAAATTAATTTGTTTAAAAGACAGCAAGCAAAGAGGGCAGCAAGGGGAGGGC